ACCTCATCACTTGAGAAGGTAGGTGATGCGGACGTCGTGGAAGACATTTTGTCCCGTAACGCTCGCCGTACTGTTGGGGGGGAAAAGCGGTGGGGGGGAGATGTTCATGTTGCTGCAGTCTGCAGTCTGACCGCTAGATGTCGCTAAAAGTTACACACTGTAGCTTTAAGCAAGCAAAAAAAAACTTCTTCCTTAACTAATTTTTCAAAGCTCACATTTAAGAGAACTGCTGCTCATTAAAAGCTGAAATGTCCACGAAAGATGATCAAAACTGGCAGCCTGACAGCAAATAAATCCCCCCTTGTTGGCCTGAAGTTGATTTGTGGATTGAATTAAAACTAGTACCCAAGCACTTGCATCTGCAGTCATATGAGATATAATCACACACCCTGTTTGAGAATTTGGCGCCCCGGTAGTTCCGCTGTGAAAGGTTGAAAACTGTGTAGTGGTCGGCATGACGACTGTCGAGGAAGGAGCGGATGTCTTCAACGTGGTTCTGATAGCCAATCTGAACTGACTCTGCTGGGTACGTCATGACTAAAAAAAAAAGAAAGAAGCAGATGTTTTTTTCCATGTTTACAATATTTATGAATTTCAGAACAGAGAAATCCTAGATAAATCAATAGATTGCAAAAAAATGATTTCCATTAGCAAATGATCCATCAGTGGTATGTCAATTATATGGTCACAAAAAATATATTTTCAACCGACTTTGGCTTGGACCTCATCATCATACTCGTGATAATCTAAAGCACTGAGTAATTTGTGAAGTAGCTACAAATGCCTTAATTTCATCCATGTACAAATGCCTAAATGTTTTAATTCCTGTCTTAAATCCATATCTGATGTAATTGTGACCTTGTCCTAAAAGCTCTCTAAGGACTGATGATGAAGACTAACTCATGTGCTAACAAACCTGAGCATTACTTCTGCTTGATGTTTCATTGTCTTGGTTCTGTTGTATTTTACTTTGCTCGGTGTTTTCCAGTCTTATTGGTTTTATTCCTGTTTTGTTGTAGTTTCTAGATTTATGTTAGTTCTCAGGTTTTTCTGTTGTCCTCTGTTGCCCACGCATGTGTGTGTGTGTGTGTGTGTGTGTGTGTGTGTGTGTGTGTGTGTGTGTGTGTGTGTGTGTGTGTGTGTGTGTGTTCCTTTCCCTTTGGCTCCCTCGTTGTCTCCTCTCACACCTGCTCCTCATCTGCTCCTTAGTCCTGCCTTTGTCTCAGTCAGCTATATATTCTCTCCCTCTGCTGTCACTCCTTGTTGGTTCCTTGTCGTTGCTGGATCTCAATGCTCTTTTCTTCCTACCTCGTCTCTCCCTTGCTCCTCGTGATTATTTTCCCCTGATGTCTCCATGGTTTTGGTTGGGTTTACTATTATTAGTTGGATTATTGGATTCCTGCCTTTGTTTACTGTTTTTTCCCCCATAAAAACTGCAAGAAATCTCCTCAGCCTCTCTGCCTCTGCATTTGGGTCCTCAAACCTCAACCAAACCCCTGACATGATGTCTGTATCAAATAAATAAGTTACATATTTTACACCAGTATTTCATGTTTAATAAATAAAATAAACATCCATAATAACAGTTTTTTATTAGCAGTTTCTTACCTATGATTCTTGAGGTAATGTAAGCAATGTCCAGCTCTCCTTTAGTGTACCTGAAACAAACAAAAAAAAGATCTTGTAAAGTGATCTTTTTATGCTAATAATGCAGTTTGAAAGAACAACCCCTCTTAAAACTGACTTAAAGCTATAATCAATTCATATTAACAGCAATTCGTTTTTTTTTATCTACACATTTTTGATTATTTCGGCACATTTTTAAAGATTCTTTTTATTTCTTCCTTCTCAGAGGCTGTGTATATTTTCCTTTTATCTCACAGTATTTCTGTACCTTGTGTTGGTCTATTACATAACATTCATCTGCAATAACTTAAAGTCGATGAACTTCACGTTAGGAATTGTCAAAAAAAGCTATGAATACTTTTCATCGGGGCTCACACCAACACCATGGATGGTTCTCCCTGCTGCCCTCTGGGAAGAAGCTTTGCAGCATTTGATGCAGGATCAGCAGATTCTGCAACAGCTTTTTCCCCACAGCCATGACATTGTTGAAAACTCTAATCTAGACTCTGCATCACACTTGAAAACATATTTGCACTGCCAATGTGGCTGATAATGTTTTTATAACCACTTTGAATAGAAAACAACTCAATTGTTCTACTGCATTTTACACTATACTTATTTATTTTACACTGCACTGAACTTTTCCATAACAATGCCTTTTGCACCTTGACATTTAAACTGGTTTCCTTTTCTGGTTTTCTATTCCTTTTCTTTTTCCCTGTTTACACTCTTGATCACTGCTGCACTTTATAAATGGTAATATTCATTTCATTTCACTGTTGTAAGCTGCTCATTCACTGTTGTAAGCTGTATGCATTGATATTTTGTTTGTATACACAAAATGACAGTAAACTTTGTGTAAGTTTTGTGATTTACTGTATGCTTTTTCCTCAATATAAATGAAAAAAAAATATTATTTCTTTAGAACCACAATGGACATGTATTTGTTTCCATAAATACATACAGAAGGTCAAATATTGTTTTTAAAGACAATTAAAGACAATCAAATTCACAAAGAGAAGGTCAGCACATAAACTTCAAACATTTCAATTCAGGGATTCTGACAGTTCCTGTTAAATCAGTGGGATGAATGAAATGCAAATCTGAGAAGCTGCAGTACAGGCTTCTGTGTCCGTGTAAGGACTTTTTAATCAGGATTACTGTTGACTGGGCTTCCCTGAATCAAGTAGATACTAAGTGGGAATCCCCCCAATGAATACCATTCCTTTTACTTCACAGGCTTAGCCATACATTATATTTCCTATTTTTGAAGAAGAAGCAGCTACGCATACACAGAGATAGTCAATCCTTTCCTTCAACGGAATCATAGACAACAGAAAGGAACCACCAAATTAAACCAGAAGAGTAGCACACATTTTATCTACCAGTGTTGTTCCTTAAAAGTGAGTCAATAGTAGTTCACTATGAAGATCCTGTGGAGTCAACTGAGCTGGCACAGAGCACTCTCTGTTATTATGAGTTGCTGATATAGAGACCCAGTACAAACCAAGCCTGGACATCTGGATTGCGGAAAAGAGGACTCAATTACATCTTCATAAATAACCTTAAATTATTACATTTAAGGTTTTTAACACAACGGATGGACAAATTCTACCTCAAAGAAAAAAAGAAAAAAGTTTTTGACAGATTAGTTTTTTTTTTATGAGAAACCAGTTAACACACGTGCAGTAGCCAGCAGTTCCAGCAATATAAAAGGGTATTTGTACTTGGGAAGTAAATGTTGGAGCATAAAATGATTGTTGGGCTCAATTATCTGAGAGGAGAGGAGTCACAGAAGAGTCTCTAGTAAATCAAAACACAAATTTAAACAAAAAGCCTCACATATATTTTACAACAAAAGCTGTTTGAGTATTTGCAGTTAAAGTTTTATATTTGAAATTAAAGTTTCCTCAGAGATCCTAATATAGACTGCTTAACATTTGGGCCAGACTGGGTCTGTGGCTCATTCTCGGGTTAAACAGGTACAGAAACAAAGAGATTGTGTTGCTTTGAATATCAATGAGACAGGGGTCCACAGCAACCGAGCGAAAGTCACTGGGGTGTCGAATGAGAGCCAAGGTAAGGACTGCAATCCTAAAAGTTTATTTTTCCTTCCAATAAGCTCCAGACTTGCTCCTTAACAGTTTCGATGGTTTTACTTGCAAATTAACTAAGGCAGAGTTTCTAAGAAGACAGATAGTAAGAAATATAAAAAAAAAGCTTCACAATAAAACAAGAAAACTTTCCAAATCCCTAAAACTCCAAATGCAAACCAAAAATATACAAAACGAAACAAAAAAGATATGTTCAAAAGGTGTGCGTAAATCTTACCCAAAATAGGTTTTTAAGACATTTAATATAAATCTTAATTCTTTTATTCTATTTCTAAAAGTAATATGACTTTAAAAGCTAGACTTTATGGAATATACACTGTAGTTTTAAACTGTAAGGGGACTTTTAGGGACACTAAGTGAATAGCTGGTATTCAATGTATAAAACATACTAGTCAGCTATAGCCATATGTTATAAAATACTGCCTTTGGTACTAGAAAGTATTTATTTGTTATGAAATTATAGCTGTTTTCATCCAACCTAGAAGAAAGACACTTGCCTTCAAATTGAATTTGTCTCTACCATGTGGGTGCCACCTCTTTCATAACTTTGTCTAATCAGGTCACCTCTGGCAACTTGGCTCTACATAAGGAAAACTGAAGTCTGAGACCTTTTGTGGCCAAAAGAAAACATTTTCACAACTAAGGTACTAGCTAAAACAAGAACGGTTGTTGTCACTCTGCAGATTAGCTGGTAAATGAGCCATATTTCAACTTTGAGACATAATCATAGCAATCTGACCTATAAAAAGAGTGCTGTTTCCTGGGCAGGTGCAGCAAGGTTAAGGTAAGTGCTTCCTGGAGGGGTTGGGTGGAGAAAGTTCTATTGAGATAAGTTTTAGCTACTTGTGATTCCAGAAGAGAAAGTACAACCTAGTATTTCCAGGACATGACAGGGAATGGATGATTACTTGGACACGTATGAGACAAGCAAAATCCCACTTTGGGCTTGATTCTCGTGAAGGGACAGAATTATAACATAGTTAAAAGCTCAGGAAGGTTGCATGATATAGGCTCTTTAAAGTTAACTATCCTCACACATGAGTAGGGATTGCATAGTAAATATTGGTGCAGCTCTGGGTGTCTAATAGAACCTTACATATTGCATCCAATGCTCCATTAAGCCTTTAAAATTGGGTGGAGAATAATAACTATTAATTTCACTAAATGAGAAAAGAAAAAACATTAAAATGCTGTTTAGCTTTTTATTTTTAACTCTAAAGAAGAAGTGGGAAATAAGGAATTCTATTAAAACCAAGTCATAATCAGGTGGATTAACTAATATTTTTGTCACAACTGACCCCCCACAATACATACACAGCAATTCAGCTATACAATAATGAAGCATTTGGAAAATATCTGCTTCATTTGCTTCACCAAACAACACAGATGGACAAAACCTCTGAAACAAATACCTTAGGAGTTATAAGACCAAAGTGTAGCGTTATGGCCACACCTGTAAACACTGATTTGGAGAGGTGTGAATAAGGCCTAAGAATAAAGTATATAATTACAAATATGAAACACAGAGCTGTATATCATATTACGTATCCTACAGGTACACTACAGCGTAAGAGGAGAGGAAACACAAGGCTGAAGTTTCATTTATCTCCTACAGTATCTTTATGAACAGTACACGGGTAAGGCATATACACAATAGTACAGCCGGGGTACAACAAACACTAGAACAATACATGCAGTAGTAGGAAACTGCCAGTCGCTTTCACAAATTGGAAGTTTAAAGCCAGTAACCGAGCATCGCTCTTGGTAAAGCATAAGTTTTTAAAATAGCATAAAGTAAGTGAAAAAAAAAGAAAAGTATCTGTGCTCACGGGTATCCAGTAAAATTGTTGCTTTTACCTCGAACGCTAACAGATCATTTAGAAGATGCATGCAGAATAAAGGAAGATGATTTACCTTCACACTGTCAACTATTGTATTTGTTATCAAAATGTATCACTGCCTTTGACAAACACAGGTTCCTATAGTATAGGAACCTGTGTAGGTTCCATAATATATGTAATATAGGTAATATAGGTGTACAGTAGGAGCCATTTATCCTTTGGTTTGTTGCCACCAGGGGGAGTATTTAATTTTGAGTTCTGAGTGTCTGATGGGGGAATGGGTTATTTAAGGTCAACCATCAATTCTGTTCAGGTGTTGAGGCAAACAGTTTTCTATTGTGCTTGGTTTGGGTGTATATCGAATTTATGTGGATCTTAAGGGAAACAGTAAGACAATGGACATTGTACTGAAAATATATGACTTTAAACGGAAGATCGGCATTCTGAATCTTAATTGAGCGAATATAAAACCAATGCCTTTCAACAACAACCACAAGTAGCCTAAAATATAGGATTTTAGCCACTACAATAGGTTCCATAATATAATTACTTAGTGAGTAGTCTTGAGACAGCGGCAAAGGTTCACCATGTAACAGGAAAAAAACACTAAACCTACTACCAGAGGAACTGGACAGTGGTTTAGATTTAAGCAGTTTCTTTAGCTGGAAAGGCCCAATCAAAGTTCAAAGCAATTTCAATTGTTAAAGGGTGAGAGGAAAGAAAACTGGATGTTTAGTTAGAGAGTTTTTACTGAAAAAAAGGCAACATGTTGATGTTGATGTGCTAAGGTGATAAACCCATGTATGCAGTAGTAAATATAGCATACTGGTTCAAAAGAATATATATTTACATCAAAAATGTTTAGGAAATGTACTAAACTATGCAATGTTTTCTTTTTACTTCACATTCATGCAGTACTCTATGTTAGTCTATGAGATTAACTACCACAAAATTTTTTTTCTTCAATATTCTTGTAAATCACTATATAATTTGGCTTTATATAGATTTGATTAGTTAAAATGTAGGTCATTGTTATTTCTAGTGATCCCTGCATTGATTTTGTCCTTGGCTATATATAGTACAGGACCAGGATTAAATTCCACAAAGGCAAAAAAAAAAAATAACAGCAGCAATGCTTAGGAGTGACTCTGAATGTCTGTAAACATTCTGAACTATTTTTGTTTATACTCCTTCAGCTTCTGCTCCTACCTCCCCATTATGCAAACAGCACACTCACAAATACCTTTAAACTCCTCTCAAACACACACCCCTTCATGCATGGCCTGAATGAAATGAATACATTAGGATCAGCAGTGCACAGGCCATTTGGCACCATGGGCCGACATGAATAATTCAGCTAGAGAAGGAAAAGACAACAGAGAAACAGAGAGAGGGGAAAAAAAAGATTAAAACTGTACAGAATGACTGGAAGAGGGAGGACATGAGAGAGGAATAAATACCATCAAACTTGCTGAGTCAAGACACATACGAGCTGTGTATGTGTGAGTGTATGCCTGTGAAATACAGAGGCCCCTTTGTGCAGGCCAGAGCAGATGCCTGTGCACAAACATACTGGAACAATTGAGCCGTGTCAACCTCCCGTTTCCTCCCTCCATCCACAATGAGCGGTTCCTCTTTTAAGCTCCAACAGACAGTTACTGTAAGCAACCAAACAACACATGAAAGGTAGAGCCAATTCACCCACTCTGCAGGTAGGTTTATTTATAATCTATAGATCACAGTTCGTTGAAGGGTTCAGAAAATGCCTGAAAGAACAACAAAAGCGTGAAACAATAACTGCAGTTATATTAGATCATCATTCAACATGGTGGAGCCCATCGCCACAGAAGTTAACAGAAACATGAGACCTTTCAGATGTAAAGCACCTGCAAGTATTTGCAATAAAAACAAATAACTGAATAAACTCTAATCGTTCTGCAGGAAAAATTGTAAAAAAAATAAATTAATTAAATCATGAGAAATATTAAAGAACGATCAGAAAAATATAGACTAAACTTGCAATTTATTTTCAGTAGTTTTTAAGGAATGTGCTTTTTAAAATCTAAAACAACCTAACTTGAAAATATCCTTACTTGCAAAAATACAAATCTTATAATTAAATACTTCATGCCTTGTCTCTAATATTATATGTCATATATCCCATGCAAGAATTTGTCCAACAATATTAGACACCCTGTAAAGTTTAGCTGTATTACATCAGGCATTTACATTGAACCCTAAGACAGCTTAACTCTAACCGATGTCAATTTAAGGATAAATCTGGAACAATTTTGTTGTTGTTTCCAATCAACAACCATTATTTATGGCTCAACTTAGGCCGTAAGAGAACTCCTATAAAGGAAAAATAAAAACAGTGTATTAAGGAGAGAAAATGGCAGAAACAAAACATGCTGTTTGTCTGATCCACCTTTTAAAAATTGGAGTAAATCAGCAGAGAAAATTTTTGAAAAATCATAATTAATAATATGGGGAATTATTCAGGTGGGTAAAAGCTGACGGGGGTGGTTAATCTGGTTGGGACACAGAAGGGGGTGCATGGTAAAAAAAAAAATTTGTGAATCTTAGATTAAAGCCCCATTTACACTACCCTTTTGAAACCATGGTGAGATCGGTCTGTGCACGGTAACCTAGATAACTGTCAGATCGTGCCAGACACAACGAACAGCGCTAACCTGGTACTAGTTCATGAGTAGGGCTTGCTTCGGTTCATTTTTTGGCACGCTTCTCTGATAACAAAGAGTGCCTGAGCAGAAAGGCATCATCTCCTTACAGTCAGCCTCTGTAATAGAGACTGACACGGGAGTGGATTTTCACTACTGTCCCGTCCCACTCCCACAGAAAAAAATTGTGTCCCGTCCCGATCCCGGGCCAGAGTAGAAATCTAAATCCTGTCCCGCCCCACTCCTGGTGAAATTACTCCCACTCCCATCCCGCTCCCATTCAGAATGAGTCCCGCTCCTGCTCCACTCCCATTCTTATTTTTTGAGCGCGGGTGGAAAAACTCAGAGCGGAAGCACTGTTGGTTTTTGGGTCGTGTAGTTTTTTTGACTCGCATTATAGTGTAGGCTTCAAGGAAAAAAACTACAAAATGCCGGCGGCGCGCCAGTGCTGGATTTTTTTTCTTTCTATTTTATTTTATTTTTTGGCATCGATCCTAGTTTGTTTTTTTT